CCCCCCCCCCCCCCAGCCCCTTTTGAGTGAGCCAGACGCAGACATTTTCCCTTGAGAGACAAAAAAAAAAAACAAAACAAAAAGCAAACCACTGCAGGGATAGAACGTTTCTTGTGGAATCACTGAGGAAAAATTCCAGGTAAGGCTGAACACAGTGTGATAACGTTATTGCCTCAAATGCTTTAATAAGATGTGCTTAGTAGCAAGGACAGTGTGTAAGTAGCCTCAATACACTGGCATATGCCGTCAAGGTGCCCTTTAGTCAAGACCTGAGAGAGCAGACGTAAGCAGCTCGCAGCTGTGAGTGAGTGAAGCTTGTGTTGCTGCAAAAGGACACGGGAACCTTTAGCCCGATACGACAGACTGATTTATTATGTGAGACGTGGAGGAACACTTTATAGAATAACTTTGCTGCTTTGCATCCATTCAGACGTACACAGAGTCTGACCCTGAAAGTAAACTTTAAGATCACTTATGAATACCAGAGTCCATAATGAAATGTTTAAAAAAAAATAAAAATAAAAATACAACCGAAACAGTCATTTGGTTGTGCATTTGAATCTTCGTCAGACAAAAGGATAAATAAAATAAAATAAAAATACAACTAAAACATGTCATTTAGTTGTGCACTTGAATCTTCGTCAGACAAAAGGATAAAAGTAAATGATGCGGAAAGTACTACTACAAGATAGAACTTGTAACTAAAGTATTCTTATTGTCTCATTTTATATTTTGTAATTATTCAGAAACTGGAAAAGGATTTTCACCAACTGATATTCTGTTCTGTGTTTGATGCAACAACATTTTCCAAAGGATAAATATCTGGACTGCAGGCAGGCCAGAGCTCATTAGTTTACTGTATGGCCTGATTCATTTCAACCTGGCAACAAGTGAGGCTGAAATATGATTGGATAAAAAAACGCAACTGGAAGCGACGCCATTAGAGAAAAACCGAACAGAAAACTGTGTATATTTTTATTAATATTCATGAAAAATGTATTGAAAAATAAGTCACTGATTGTGATACTGTTTGGCAGTGAAGGCTTCACTGGTCTTGATGCTACACCACTGATAAAACCCATTGAATTGTTAGCTTTGGTTTATGCTAACTTTATACCATGTAACTTGTATGATCTTTGTCCAGCGTGTGTGTGTGTGTGTGTGTGTGTGTTCTAGGCATGGAATTCTATAGTATTTATGGTTAATATAATGCCGTCAGTTGGTCGGTAAATCCACTGAAGTGCACCAGCGTTTCTGGAGTAGCCTTTGTATTCATCGTGGTGTGCGGTGTCAGTGTCAGAGATGCCAAACGATTTCTGATCACAGACAGCTCCTCTCTATAGGGCCGGGCTTTTCCACTAAGTGCGTTGCTTTGATGAGAACAAGTGCGTCGACAAGGCCGATTACAACCACATCACTGACTGGAGCACGAGGAGCAGCGAGGAGGCAGACGATTCTGCGTCGCATCCTGCTCCACTGAGCCCCCGTAACACACACACACACACACACACCCAGAGTCTCGGCACCATAAGTCAGCTCAGAGCAGCTTTATGATGTATGGAGAGGGGGGGGGAAAGCGAGGTTCACCCTGCATTTCAGCTCAGCTGTGATGTAACCGTGGACCATGGCTGTGCCGCAGTCAATTTAGGATTCTGTGTCCTCAAACGACCTCAGCACCCTGCTTCCTCCCTCCCTCCTCTCTCTATTTTTTCCTCTCCTCTCCTCATGCTGATGCCATTTATCTCCTCCCCTCCCTATCTGTCCCGCCTCTCGCTCTACGCTACCAAAATCTGCAACTACCCTTTCGCACCATGGTGCAGAATCTAATATTATCCCCTCGTCTCTTCCCCCCCCCCCCTCTCCTCCCCCTCCTCTGTGCTCCCAGCCCTTATGCGCATCGGTACCTCCCGGCCAGCATCACCCGTCTCCTCCCCTGGCAGCAGTGTTAGCCCTACACACACACACATATACACACACATATTTATGCCATTATATCCCAGTCGATGCTAACTGATGCTAACTGATGCTAACGTGCTCGGATGCTGCAGAGTTTCCACCTTAGCACATTAAAGCTGTTCACAGGCTGCACCTCCTCCTTTTAATAAAGGCAAACCCCCAGGACACATTTAACTCCACTATATGTTTGT